TGTATAGTATGTGTATATATATATATATATATATGTATATACATGTATCAGTTGACAATAAAATACACACATACACGAATTTAAATATTTGTTCTAATATTAAAATGTCTTCATATAATTGATTCTTTTATTATAATTTTATGTACATCATAAATATTATAACTGTTTTCAATATTATAATATTAATACCTCTATATAAATTATAATTATTAACTATTTTTTACAGCAATTACGAGTTTTATATAAAAGTTATTATTATTATAAACAGAAACTATTATTAATCTGTAATATCACCATGACAATTTGCGAAATGAATTCTAAATATGGACAATGCACTTTCTATGTGTATGCATGATAATCAAATAACACTAATATAGACATATATAAATTTTAGACTTTATTTTAATAAATATAAAAATATATTATCTGGAAATTAAAAATTTTTTCATAAGTAAATTGTGGATTTATTTATATAGATAATAAATAGTTACATAAATCATAAAATATATTTATAAATATGTAAATATGTATGTAGAAATACACAAGTAAAATAAATTTTAGATTTTATCATACCGTATACTTATAATTTCTTGTAAATGAGTTTCATCAATTCTAGTTTAAAAAATACCATTATATCAAGAACAAAGGATTTTAAATTTAATCAGTATTAATAATTATATTTATTAAGTAATAGCCTAAAATTTATATTAAAAAATTAATTATTATATTTACTAAAGTCTTTATTAACGATTTTACTTAAATTCAAACAAATTTTGGATATGGAGTCTTCGAAGCTCGTCATTATAAAAGTTAAAAGACTGCATAAAATATAAATGGATTCCATAATTTATTCAAAGTAAAATATCTAATTATTTAATTTTATTCTATGCAAAAAAATATTTAAACACATACATATATATGTATATATGTATGTATGTATATATACATATATATAAATGTGTAACATATTCAAAATATTATATGCATATAATTATTGTATTATTATTGTATAAAATTAACTATCATATCATGTATAAATAAATGTATAAATAAATCATTAAATATAAATCATTAAAATCAAAATTATTGATATTAATATTACTAGTCATATGTTTTCATTGTAATAATTACTTTGTAATAAATTATACAGATGTAAACATAAATATTAATTAAATCTTTCCGACTCAATTCATTTCTAAGTTATTCTATTCTCTTTATTTCTTTATTCAAAATAACATTGTAAGGTAGAAATTATTAAATATAACATCCTAGAATTTGCTATTATTAGTTGCTATCATAATATTTTTACGAACGTAATAAAGCAATAAAATATGCATTGACATTATGCATATCTTATCTATTTAAAATTTGATAATTTTATAATTTAACATCATAGACTCTTTAAATTTTCCTTGTTTTTTTTTTGTACAATACTTTGTACTTTATATTACAAATTGCGCATTAATAAACATTATTAATTATATTATATTAATTATATTAATAATTTATTTTTATAGTGGCGATTTGTTTTATGAAAACAGTGGTTACAAAGAACAACTATTGACTAATTTACAGAATGTTATGCTGACAATTTGAAAAACTAATACAAGTCTACGTTACACATGTTTTATTATTTCTTTTCAGTTTTTGTATATGATAATTAAATAAGTGACTTAAGCATATATAAATTTTAAATTTTAATTGAAATAATATGAGAAAGAGGCGCCTACACATGACGGTGTATGGCACTTAAAGAAGAAGAAGAATTGAATTATAATATTATATTTTTTATGAATGTATAAATTTATTAAGTATAATGTATATTATTTGATAAATCTAAATATCAATTTAGAAATCATAGATAAATATTATTGTATGTGTATATATATATATATGAATATTCATACTTAAAAAATTATCATATTTTAGCGTATACTAATTTAATATTTATTATACTCTTAATTATTAATATACTTAATTATACTCATTTAATATTTTGACAATGGGCTATGATCTAAGCTTTAAGAATATTATTATGAAACAAAAAAGCTTAAATTTAATCAATTTAATAAATTTATAATATTTCAAAACATTAATGTTATTTAATTAGTAAAGCAACGCATTATGAATAAAATGTTTAAAAATCTATATAGTAAATTTGACATTATATTGAAAAATTATTAATTAATTAAAAGCAAAAATAATAAAATTCAAGATATATAACTTTTTCTGTTCTTTCTTAGTGTAGCTTTTTAATATATAATTTAAGAAAGTAACATATATTTAGTTTTCTTTCTAAACTAAAAAAAAAACAAATCTTAAATAGAATTCAAAAAATTGTGAATATTTCTCATGTCACCTATTTAATTCTTAAAAAATGAATACATTCGTTAATCTTCAGATTCATTAATCCTAATAAAAAGATGCAAAAGTAATTAAATCCTAAATAATTGTGGTGTTTATAAAAAAATCAAAATAACGAGGATTGACAATTTTGTATAGAACTTTGATTATTAATAATATTTAATAATATTTAACGGGCAATTAGCAATAAAAGTTGCGGTCTTGCATTTTTTCTCAAAAAATTTTCTCAATTTGCCTGACAGACTTTTACAATTCTTTCTTCATTATGAAAAATAAAAGATTTTTTAGAAATAGAAAGGAATCTCAACAATTTCTTGAGTATCAACTATTAGAGATTGTCAGTGAACAAAAATCTCCATTAATCTTAAACATTCTCACTGACAGTATACGTATAGACAAAATATACGCACATGCTCATATGTGCATACATAATATATGTGAACACATACTCTGTTACATTAAAATTATCAAAATAAAGTAAATTTTTACATATTTCCAATAAATATTCGAATTTTCCTCCAAGAAATATGAAGGTTAAATAATAACAAACAATTTTGTCTAATAATAGACAAATGGGTCAAATAATACTAAATACAGTCCTCTATAAGTAAAATCGTCAGTCAACTTATCATGTACCAAGCATAGGTTGATAAATTTTTGGTAAGTAATATTATCTTATTTCTATCTAGTTTTCATATTCAATCACATATACAATACTTTAATATATTAATTATTATGCCTAATTATTATTACTATTTCTTTAATGTTTTTTCTTTTATCATTGCACTTAGCTATTGTAATTAAATTAGCTTATATACATTGTAACCTGTCCAACTAAATTTGCAAAGAACTATTCTTCCTGAGATTCATCAAAATTAATTATACTTTATAGATTATTCTTTTGTATTTAACAAAAGTTTATTATCGTATTCATGCTATCACATGTTAATGCAATCATGTATAATAAAATCGACAATAAAATTAAATTATTTTAAGCAAATAAAATTTTGTCGTAGAATCTCGAATTATATTGTTAATTAATATTATAGTTATATTTTTCTATCCTTATTTAATCTTATTTAGAATTTATTTCTTTATCTCGAGTTAAACAAATAAAATATATTGTTGTATTCTATTGTTTTAAAATAATCATGTCACTATTTTCAGATAGTATACGGCAAAATACGTATTAAAAGTCTAATTTGATATATTTTTAAGTGTGGTGAGAATAAAATCTCAATATCTTATATTATGACGCAATCACTACAAAACATCATCTTTCTCATTTCAATTGTTGGTAAGATAATTTTTATTGTTTATACATATATATATATATATATATATATATATATATGCATTAATATATTTTTATAAATTTTAATCTTATTATTTTACTTAATTTATAAAGTATTCTGCTATTTTATTTGTATTTTCATAATTATGTTATGTAGTATAAATTTTTAATACTTTTTATATTGAACAAATTTTTTTACTATATCAAAAACTAATGCAACAGCTGGACAACAGTTTACAAAAATCACAATTGTCATTGCCTGTGCAATCGCAAGTATCACCATCATCAGTTTCAATCCGAGAAAAACGGATAGGTCTATGTTAGTATCACGTTTAATTTTTCTATACTGTAATTAAGATACAAAGTCTATATAGTGGCATAATTTTAAAGCATTAATTCTTCTTAAATTATCTTATATAAATGTATAATAGAACTAATTTTGTTTAGTTTTATGACTATAGATTAGGCAACAATTACTATTGACAAAATTAATTTTTTGTCACAAATAATTAGCAAAAATTATGTAACTATACACAATTACAATAATTAGCAAGAATCATGTAATATTATAACAACCATGCTTGTCGAACTCTGATTGCTAAATCGGCCATATTTGTCAAATCGATCAAACTAGCCATACCGAGCATGTCTGCTACATCGGTCACGATTATACCTTCGACTGCCACTCTGATGACATTACCACGACTAGTGCACCGGTCACAACAGCCATATCAGCTAAAAGTGTCAGATCGGTTTACAAATGTCGCATCAATTACGACTGTCACACCGGCCACGACTATCATACCGTCCACATTGCTATATCAGCCACAATTGGCGCACCGGCGGCGACAGCCATACCAGTTACAAGTGTCAGATTGGTTTACAACTGCCGCACCAATCACGACTGTCACACCGGCCAACGTAACCTGCCTATACGGACTACATTTGCC